TGTGTGTGTGTGTGTGTGTGTGTGTGTGTGTGTGTGTGTGTGTGTTGATGGCTTGTGTATTAATTAGGACTCGTCATCTGTTTGCCCACGTCGGCGCTGATGATGTGAATATCATCTGTAATGTCTCTGCTAATTGCCCCAGCTCTCTGCCCTGTTGGCACAATATCCTGCCCCCGACGCTGCTTTATTATCTCACACACACACACACACACACACACACACACACACACACACACGCACACACACTTTTTTGTGTCTTTCACTCTGTCTGCTGCTCGTTTTCTCTCTGTCCTCTTGCTCAGTCTGAAGTCAGATTAGATGTATTGCCTCTGATAGGTTTTTGCCACATTTTTGTTGTGTAATTAACGTTTTTTTGTCTTTTTTTTTGTTTTCAAAGAATTTTGGCCACAAGTGCATATCAATTTGTTTTATTTTGACTTCTTTTTCTTTTATGTTAAAATGTAGACATACAGTTGTTTTGTGCAAAAAGATGCTTTGCAAAATCACAAATTTGATCATAAAAATGAAAACAAAAAGCATTTCAGTGTGTAATAGTGTTAATACGGTTACTTTGTTTTCTTTCTTACTTGTTGTGAAAATGTATTCATGATTTTCTTTAATTACATCGTATTTTCCATGTGGGCATTCTTCAGTTCAAGATTGCGTTTTAAAGTGGTTTAATTAATCTGTTCATCAGTCAAAAACTGGAAGAATTTTCTGAAACTGTTTTAAATAACAAAGAAAAGAAGCCAATTTCACATATTTAGAAGCTAAAAATCGCAAATTCTAAACTAAACATAAATGAAATGTATTGATTATTTTTTAAAAATACTGTTTACAGTGGTCCCTCGTTTATTGCGGGAGTTACGTTCTAAAAATAGCCCGCGCAAGGTGAAATCCGCGAAGTAGCCAAGTTTATTTTACAATTATTATACATGTGTTAAGGCTACAAAACTCCTCACTACACACTTTATACACTTTTCTCAGACAGGCACGAATATTTTCACACTTTTCTCTCTTATTTAAACACTCAAAGTTCAAACCTTCGTAGAATAATAAGTTCAGTATTATAGAATGAAACCACCCACGGTTGCTTTTGATGGTGCAAAACGTTTTGTCAACATGATTGTATTTGTTGGGGGAAAACTTACAAACATACAGTACAGCACTTCAGAGTCACACTGCTAGCGATCGAAGAAATTTGACCAGCTGGATGCATTCTGTACTGTACAGGAGACACGGCATGAGATTGATTGACAATGGTCTACAGCCAATCAGGACACAATGTCCTGTAAAACAAAAAAGAAAAGGAAAAAAATGCAAAATTGCACAAAAGAAAATCCACGAAACAGCGATGCTGCGAAAGGTGAACCGCGTTATAGCGAGGGACAGCTGTATCTCTTATGAAGCGGCGATATTTTTGCTTTGAATCAATAAAGGAATACATGTATGAACTGCACTAGAGGTGACAGGATAAGGTTGGGGTGGATGGAGCGGTTGGAAAACAGTTGATTGACCACTTGATAGTGCTGGGGTCACTACAAGAGATGGGAGTGAAAAATACTGTGGAAAAAATGAGTAAAGGACTCTATAGACATCTGATTTAGAAACATTGTAATTTAGGAGTATGCTCGCTTTCTTTTCATTCTTGTTGGTCTCTGCTCAGTAATTATGTGTTTTGGATGGTTTTTTGGACTTATTTGAACTGGTTTTAGCCTTCATTTCACTGATTCAGGGTTGCTTGGACATCATGTTTGATTCAGATTGTTTTGTTTGACAACGGATGGCTTGTTTTGTGCAAAGCTGATCAGAAAAGCATGAAAGGTCCCCTCCATGTTGCCTGGATTTTCTTGTTTTAACCCACCGACAGACAAAAAAGTATCTTAGAACCTGAAAATATTTGTTTTAGGTTGAAAAATGACCTAAATGAACAATGATTAGCGCATTTTAGAAGTTGCAGATTATTGTTATGCTGTTCTTGACTAATTGACTATTGGTTTTATCTGCAGAAACATTAAATCACAAATGATTTGCTCAGACATATCCACACTTCACCAAACTGCACACGTCCATCAGCCATTAGAGCAGCTGATGCAGTAAATTAGTGTTAAAACTCATCACTTAACACATCAACACACACAAACCCCCTCCAGCACCAAAAGCCAGGTTTTCCTGAATGCTTTGCATCTGCAGCTCCGGCGTCAATTAACGTGTTTGCGGAGGCTAATCGAATGAAACTCAATCAGCACCACTAATTGCCCGACTATGTGCAAAGAAATCACATTAATGCCGCTAATTAAGTGGATGGCAATAGATGCCACCTAATTGCCAAGAAAAGTCTAAAGAGGAGAAGATCAGGCCAACAAAAGGCGAGAGTAATTAATCGCCTCTTGTCACGATGTGACTCTGAGCAGTGAGAGTTGTTAAGAGCACTTAAGAGCAGAGATTTTTTAGAAACTCTTGTGCAAGAAAGAATGATTAGAAGTCAGTTTTTCTTTTCTTTTTTTGTGTTCATAAGCCTGAAACTAAGGCAAAGAGCAAACCAACGCTGAGTGAACACAAGATAGAAACCAAGATGGTCTTAAAACATTCATTTTTAAACATCCCAAATCCAAATGTTCAAAACGAAATCCAGCAGTAAAAGTAATAATTGATTAGAATTAGAATAGAAAGTTCTAACTTCAGTGAATCTTAAATGCAAGTTCAGTTTTTAGTCTTTAGATAATAACTTGAAGACACTACAGTTTTCTGTCCATTGAGATAATTTTGCATTAAAAGCAATGTACATTTACAGTTTGCATATCAACAGATGTAATTTATAACACAAACCATAAAAACCTGTTATGTAATGTGTTTAAGTTCGTTTAGGCTTTAGGTTTGAACATGGATTATAGATCTCTTCAGGTTTTTTGACACTGGTTTCTGACCTGGTTTTGGGCTCGTTCAGGTAGGTCCTAGGCTTAGTTTTAAACTTATTTAAGGTGGTTTTGTTTTTGACTTTGTACTTGGTATTGCACTGATTTTTATACATGGGTTTCAACGTGGACGTGTTTAGGCTAGCCTTTGCACTTCTTTCTGACCTGGTTTTGGACATGTTTAGATTTTGTTTGGGACCTAGTTTTAGACCTGTTCAGCCTACTTTTTAGACTTGGTTTGTGACCTGATTTTGGACATGTTTAGTCTGGGTTTTGGGCTTGGTTTGTGACTTTGTTTTGGACATGTTTAGTCTGGGTTGTGCATTTGGTTCTGACCTGGTTTTGGACCTGTTCGGGCTAGTTATGGAGCAACTTTGTACTTGTCTTTGTAACTGTTATTAAATTAGGTTTTGTACCTGTCATCTCTGCACCTTCATCACTTTCTCCACATTTTCAGTCTGATCGCAGAGCTTCTTCTTCTTCTCCTTTATCTGCTGTCATCTGTTTACCCATCGATCGTGTTGTGAAGTAGTTCGCTCTTTATGGATTCATGTTTCCTTTGGCGTCAGCAGTATCCAGCTCTCAGTTCATGTTGCATTTTTCACACTGATGCTGCCGTTAATGCGTCCATTTATACTGACTGCACGCAAACACACACACACACTCTTAAATACACTTTCTTTCTTCCGCGTTCATAAGCTGACAACATGTTCTCGTCCTCTCTCACACACACACACACACACACTCGTCACCACCTGCTGTCGGTTTGTTTGGTCGATACACACATCCGTCCTGGACGCCGCTGCGTGGTGTGGACGATCGGGCCGATGATGAAAGCTCTCAGATGCAAATGGAGACTCAATTACCTCGGTCAATCTGTCGGAGGGGTGTGTGTGTGAGTGTGTGCGCATTTGTGTGTGTGTGGAGGGTTTACCCAGCGGGCCCCTGGCTCGAGGGCTCTCCAGTGGCTTGTTAAGACACCGTCGAGAGCACTTGGCTTTGAATTGGCCTTTTGTCAGCCGAGCTGCCAGAGGGAGGCGGGAAACACTGAAAGAGTGTGCGTGTGTTATAAATGTGTGCATTATTATCCAAGTCTGTGCAATAACAGCAAACCGAGGATGCTTTCTGAAATAATGCCACGAACAGTTTGCATTTAACAGTAATTACTTCAACTGTATAGAGCAGCGCAGCTCTAATGAAAGCTGTAGTGTGTCAGAGATGAACACAACATTGACAAAAATGGGGAAAAATAAGAAACTTTATTAGTTGGTGTCAGGCTTCGGTTGAGTTTAGGTGAGGAATCCAAGTGGAAAGTGAAAGAGGGTTTGGTATTTGCCAGAATACACTGGAACAGGTTACCGTCTTATGGCTTATTACAATTTTTCGACATTCATAAATAGTGAAAAGGAGGCGATGCAGGAAGTTGTGGCTCAGTTTTTCTTTTTTTTCAGGTAAATCAAAATAACTTCATGTTGCTTAGATCAGGTATCTGCTCTGAGGTTGGATTTCAGTCGTTACGTTGGACTGATGTTGGGTTATGTTTTTGGACACTATTTAGACAAACTCCCACTTGGTTTTGTACTTGGCTTTGGGTACGTCTTTGGAGTGTTTTTAGGTTCGGTGTTTCCCTTTGGTTTTATCTTAGTTTTAAATAGTTTGTTTTGGCTTTTATTGCTTTGCTTTTGTCTGGTTTTGACCTTGATTGGTTTGGACATATTTTAAACTGGTTTTATAAAGTTTGCTTTGAACCATTTTTGTGGCTGTTTTGACCTACATTTAGACTCATTTATTAGCTTGGATTGGGAATCGCTTTGGGTTGATCTGGACTTGGTTTGTCCTGTTTTATAGTTGGGGCTTGGTTTTATACACATTTTTAAATTTGTAGAGGTTCACTGGCTGGATGTTCTCGACTCATTGTCCTGCTATGGAACATCTGGATCCATTAGATACTGTAGTTCTTTGTAATGGTTAAGAATGTGAAATAATTTTTTTTTCTTCAGATAGAAAAAAATATATATACTTGTAATAGCCTTCTTCTCCAAACCAACACTTATTTCCCTTCTCTATGTCTTAAAAATATATATATCAGACTCTCTTTTTAATCCACAAGCTTTGTTTCTCATCACCACCTTGATCCTGAAGAGGAGGCCGACCTCCCAAGGTGCCGTGCTTCTCTTGGGTCACCACTGATTCTCTGCCACCGTCAGAGAGGTGGGGGTGGATTTAACAAGCACCTCTCGTTTGTCATTAAACACCACTTCTTGTCTGATCCATCCGGTCTGGACCGGAGGGGGGCACCTCGCTAGGGGGGCTGCCGAGGCCCCTGACAGTGGTCGCTCTTGTTTCAGGCACATTGGCGAACGGGCAGAGCCAATCAGAGTCCGAGTGTTGGGCCACTTCAGTGCCGCTTTAAGGGATTAGTGTTGCTTTGTTTTCATTGTATGTTTGACGGATTTGGGAGGTTTATTATCCCAAATAATCCCACTCGTGTTGATGAGATCGCTTACACGCACACTTCATTTTACTTGCTTTGTGTTTTGTGCTCTAAGTGTTGTCCCATGTGTTTGTTTGCTGTCAGTGGGCCTGCTTGGTCAATGATTGCATGTACTTACATTTTTAAAATGCTTTCTCTGGTTTAAACGGTTGTAAAATGTCTGAATACTCGTACGAATAAAAATGGGTTTGAGATTCATGTAGGTTTAAAGATTACGGGACTTCAACACAATAAAGTTTGAATGCTGCCTTCTGTTTGTCAGGACTACATGCAGAACGTCCACGGGAAGGAAATCGACCTGCTCAGGACCACGGTGAAGGTTCCGGGGAAGAGGCCACCGCGCGCCGTGTCCACCTGCGCCGCCATGCCGAGCCCCAAAACCAACGGCCTGACGAAGGACATGAGCAGCCTGCAGCTCGGACAAACTTCAGGTGAGGCCTGCAAACTGACACCTGAGAGTGTCTGTATCAGTCCTTCAAACCTTTCAACCATAGGTATAAGGGAGGTAATCTTTGTCACACCCCTCCTCCTCTGTGATTGGACGGCAATGATTTACCTGAAATTCAACTTTTTTTTTTTTTTACTGCTGAACACCCGTTTACAATAATCAGAATTCATCATCTAGAAGTGCATGCTCTAACGTATCTAAGTTTTCAAAACAAAAGCCATAATTACTTATAAGGAATTTACCAGGAGGCATTTAAATCTTCTGGTTTTTGAAATAAAAGTTTTCTATTTAGTTTATTGCAACTTACGTTTTCAAAAATATTCACCCCTGCTATCAAACATCCAATCAGGAAGTCCATTTGTTATAGTTTAAAGTAACGAGTCTTTACGTCAATTTTCATGTGGATATCCAGGTTAATTTGTGAAATTATTATTAATCACTGTAATTAAGTAAGATACCTGTTTAAACTCCATGTTCATGCTTTTAAATGTCTCATTTTATTTTAAACATCCAAATCTTCTATTTCTTGTAAAATGATACCATAACAACAATAGGTTTTCACATTTCTCCTACTGTTATTGGGAGAATGATTAAAACTGAGATTTCTATTGAGACAAACTAACATAAAGAAAAAGAAATTTGCATTTATTTTCTAAAAGTGTCTTTGAAAGGCTTAAATGTAACTGTCAGCGTTCACACGTAGAAACCAACAACGTGTTTGGAGGTAAAAGCGTTGTGTTAAATAACGGAAAAACTGAATCAGCGTTATTGAAATGATGTAATAAAAATGAGCTGAAATATGGAAACATAAAGGAGTGAACATGAAGTCTCGCCTCCACTCAGCAGCGATTAGCCCGTCATCAACACACTTGTTTCCTAATTGTGCTTCTAATCGCCGCTCTCGCTCTGACATCATAAACACGAGCGTTGTTTTGTTCGTTCTGAGTCAATAAAGATTGATTGAAAGGAGGAGGGGAAAAATCTGCAGTTCAGCCTCGAAGCAAACGTGTCTTATCACCTGAAGGAAGACGTCGTAAAACAAAAGGTGGAGCATAATCCTGCGTGTCACACACACACACACACACACACACACACACACACACACACACACACACACACACACATAAAAGCAGCGCTTATGAGGCTTAAATCTCTCTCTCACACACAAACACACACACACATGCGCGCGTGCAGGAGGCCCGAGCTAATAGCATGAATATTCAGTGAGCTGTACTCCATGTACTAATTATTGTCATGAATATTAATGCAATCAGAGTCCTGGCTCCATTCAGCCAGCACCAAGAAATGAGCTGTAATGAGAGAATGAGGAGGAGGAGGGTGGGGGTGACTCACCCTGCTGCTGGACCACACAGCCTCTCACCGACTCGAGGGTTTGATTTAAGCAGCCGGCTCGTGAGAGGCTGCCTTTTATGGCTCCCTCGTGTTTCTGTGTGAAGTAAATGAGAGTGTGCGTGCACGCCAAGGAAGGAAGAGCAGGTCTGCAGATGATCTGTGCCACGCTCGGGACGTTTGAAGCTTAAATAGCAGCACGGGCTTTAAATGTGATTCTCTGGTCATAAGAAACATGCTCAAGTGTCAGTTTTCTTCAGTCAGCTGGTTAAAATGATCAGAATGCTGAGCTAACTGTACATGGAGCCCGTAGTTACTGCTGCCAGCCTGTAGAGGGGAGCGTGACAAATTCAATCCAAAAACTCACCTTCCTCCAGTGATGGAGTCCACAAACCAAAGGACAGCTATGTCCATCTTTGTATATTCAGTGTATGGTGCTATCGTCAGGCTTCCTGTCATTGTCCAACCAGAGGAAAGAGAGCTGTTAGGAAGGAGGTTTCTTAAAGAGAAGCTAACGCAGCTTTTCTCACAGAAGTTATGAGTGATAAGTGAACACTGCAGGTATCTGAATCTTCCTTATATGCCGCATTGACGTCTCCACTTTGTGTTTCAGGCTCGGTGACTAGCAGCTCGTCGGTGTCACAGATGGCGAGCGGCGTCAGCTTGGTGTCCTTCAACAGCCGCGGCACGGAGGGGATGCACCAGCGCTCGTACTCCGTCTCCAGCGCCGATCAGTGGACCGAGGCCACCGTCATCGCCAACTCTGGAGTCAGCACAGGTCAGTGACCGGCACGCTCACGCAGAGTCATGTGATCCTGAGTTAAACCGCAGGTCACACGAGAAGCTACACAGATGGGACTGAAGGCCCCAGCGTGGAGCTACGCGAGGGGGACTATCATTTGTCTCCCATTGATCCAGCTGCCAGACCTCTAATACTGCCTTAACTGTTTGTCAAGCTAATGGACTGTCTGTGTGTGTATGTTGGTGTGTGTGTCTGTGTGTGTATATAGGTGTGTAGGACTTAAAGCGCCAGTATTAACCAAACACACACACAGAGCAGGAAGCTGAGACTGACAGCTGTCAGGCTGTGTATGAGCCTGATGTTAAGCTTGAGTGGCAGCTCCTTCTTTGGGGCCTCCAGCCTTCCTCAAATAACGTTTAAAGCTGTGAAACGCTCTCAATGGGCTCCCAGGGGCAACACAAACACACAGTTTCTATAGGTGTAAGGGCACTCCTTTAAGGTCCCTGTGGATCCTGGTACTTTATGCAAGAGTAAGATATTAATTAACCTTAAAAATGGTGATGAAGTCATGAATTCTTTTGTCAGAGATCTGAGAAATGTTACAGATCTTACAGCAATATCTGAAATCTAAAAAAATAATTGGGACAAACGAGTAGTCAAGACTTACATGTGTTAACTCATCACTCAGTTCTCAAGCAGTGTCGAGGCCAAAATGATAGGAAATAATTATAGAGAAGAAAAAAATGAGAAAAACAAAGATATTACATATTAAATAAGCTAATGAAAAAATAAGTAGTAATATAACATCTTAAAAATACAGAAAGGAAATTAAAAACAGAAGTAAATAAACTGAGCATGTTAAATAATAGGAGGAAATACTGCAGATTCAATCATTTCCGAAATACTCCTGTTTATATTTTATTAGGTGGGGTCTGCCCTCCATAGATCAACTGTCAGAGTTAATAATAACTACAAAACTGCTTAAAACATTTGTATTAAACAGTGCAAAGATGCAAAAATAAATAAAATTCTGCAATAAATAAATACTAAAATTAAGATTAAACTCATGAAAAAAATTCAGTTTCTGCTTCTTCTTTGAGGTTTATTAGGCACACAGGTGCTTTGCCGCCACCTTCTGGAGCATAAAACAAAGAAAAGTTTGTAGTCTTTGGACCAGCTGCTTCTTCTTCTGTGGTGGTTTGTGTGGTCTGAGCAGCTGGTGTTTAAACTGTTGATGAGAGAAAATACACCACAGAAAAACAATCAGAGTTTGGACTGAGAGAGAGAGTGCAGCAGGATGAGGTGGTTGTGGGGGTGGGGGCAGCGGTGGTGGGGTTTGACGTGGATGGAGCGCGGCTTGCAGATGGGAGGGCCGTTAATCCACGGCGGTTAATTGCGCGCTCGGGGATGGCATCTTGTCAGCAGAGATAAGTTGTCACATTTTCCACTTGAGCTGAGACTAAACGATTGTAAAATAAGTTATGGCCGTCCTTGGGGCTGTCTGCCGTTCGGGGATGCGCCGGCCAGCAAGCGCTCGACAAGATACGTTTGTGTGTGTGTGTGTGTGTGTGGTGTGCACATGTGTTTCCATCTGCACACACAGATACACACCGCGCCCGTGTCAGTGTGGCCGCCGCGCCGTGATATTGATGGAAGCTGAATGTTATTTTATTCCGCCGCTAGTCACAGCTGTCAGCAGCCGGCGTGAAGAGTGGAGGGCAGAGAGAGAGAGACTCCACTCACTGTGCTGATAGCCTCGCTCGCCCACAGGTCTGAGCCTGCATGTCGACCGGAACGGGATTCAGTATAGTTTACTTTAATCCATTTGGACCCCGTCAGTGGTGATTCCGGATATTATATATACGTATTTATACATTTACTGTTCTGCTTATAAAATAGAGCAGTCGAGGTGTGAGGTTTTGCGCTCAGATTTACTCAGCTTCTGTTCTGTGCCCAAGAGTTTTGCCACCATGCATATTAAGGTCATTAGTGAAGTATCAAAGGTAACTGTGCAGCAGGATCAAGAGCTGAAGCCAGAGTCAGAATGAAGAGCAGGGAGTCCTGTATCTGATGGCCTGGACTTCACACAATCCTGATCGCACTATCAGCAGTGTGAAATTACAGGAAGAGACAAAAGACTCCAGTTTAATCCCACTGATGAAGCAATTCCTCCATAACCTGTAAGTCAACTACAAAACCAGGTCCAGAGTCCAAAATTAGGCTCACAACTAACCCAGAAGTTATTAAAAATAGCAACCGCAAAAGCTTTTTTAGGGTACTCAAAAACTAAATCAGAAAACTTGTAAGTTCTTCCAAACCAGTACCAAACCAAATTTAAAATCATACCCAAACCTAAGTTAACCCAATGGAAAATTTAATTTGAAAGCAGTTTTAAACCAGTTTAAAAGAAAGTCCCAATAATCCCATTATGAAGTGTAAGAAATAAGTCTGGTGTAACATGAAGGAACCAAGACCCTGAGACTAATTTAGAGAACTGTGACAAGCCCTCGAAGATGTTAAAGGTTTAAAAAAACCAAAAAACGCTGAAGTCAAACCAAAATGAAACTAGTCAGAAACTTAATCCAGAACCAGCTTAAAACCTGTCCAAAGTTCTCAGCAGATAAAACAAGAAAGGCCACTTGTGTATTAAACTTCCAACTATCTCAAATTATCTCTGAATGTTTTTCTCCACAACCATAAACTTCCCCTTTTAAGACACTGCAGAAAAAGATGGGTGCCTCGACCTATCCTCCACCCACCAAAAAGCTCTTTGGTCTTTAGAAAGCAAAACCCCCCAAGTAGTTCTGTTTAGTTATATTTGGCATCAGTCTACAGCAACAGTTATTTTACTGATGGGTAAAGATCCTGCAGTATTATAGTGCGAGAAGCCCATTGATCACTTGTGAGCAGTATGGCAACAGTGTAGAGTTCTATTTGTGATTTTATTTGGTTACATTTGCAGACACAGGCCTGGGAGACTCCGTCTGCTCCAGTCCCAGCATCTCCAGCACCACCAGTCCAAAGATGGAGCCGCCGCCATCGCCGCACGCCAACCGCAAGAAGCACCGGCGGAAGAAGAGCACCAGTAACTTCAAAGCCGACGGCCTCTCTGGTACTGCGGAAGGTAACGCCATCTCCCCTCCCCCTCGCCTCGCACTTTCCCCGCCTAGTTCTTTAAAAAAATACAAATGAAAACATCATCTTTAAAACTGACCCGACCTTTATTTTCTAGTTTTCAAATCTTAAATCCCACTATCTTTGTAAAGTTTGTGTATTGATGCTATAAGAAAACCCTGAACCTTTGTTCATAGTGACATTAGTAGATTATTTGGGACCTAGGCTGGGAAACGCAGTCATGTGATTGTCTGAGATTTTCGACCTCCTCAATGAGGAAAGGATCTCTCCATCCTGTCATTCTCTCAGCCCTTCATCTCTTCACCCTGTTTGGTCTTCCTCTTCTCTGTAAAGTCTGTGGATCAATGAGTGTGTACATGCACAGCAGTAACTCCATATTAGTGAATCCAACAACAGCTGAAAAACCTGCTTTTGTATTAATACTGCAGACATTAAACATGAAAAGCATTGTCTTTGGTAATAATTCAGCTGCAGATAACCTGATGAAGCTAAAGTTGGTCAGAACAAATCTTAAAGACAGTTACAAAAAGCCAATTAGAGACCTGGTTACTAACTAATGGCTAATTTTGTATATGCTTCTGTATATGCTTATATGACAGGTTGGCGTCATTTAAGTGCATGGAGACATCCGCCATTTGGCGATCATTGTTGGACAGTTAGAGGAGCAATTCCTTATGAATGTTTGGACTTGGGTTAGATTCGATGTTGAAATTTGTTATTATGTTTAAAGATTTTTGATTTATTGGGGGGGTTGTTTTTTCTTTTGTTTATAATAGTCTGTAGAACAACTGAATTAGCTTGAGTCCCGTTCAGGGACAGTTCAGCAGTTGTAGCCGCATGTGTTGCTATACACCTGTCAGTCAAAGTGGCATTGCCCCTTTAAGCCTTAATACAATTAAAACCGGTAAATTATTTTAAAAATTCACCATCCAGTTATTATGAAGGAGGAATGTAGCCATAGAACCCCAAACAATTTTTGTAGCAGGCTGTAAACATGCTTAATTCTGCTGTGAACATGTGGACATCTTATAATGTGAGACTGGTTCACTTTTGGAGGCGGCCCCAAGTGGACATTAGAGGAACTGCAGGTTTTTGTACTTTACTTTTAAGCCTTGGAGTTTGATTCTACTCTGAAACGAGCCCACTTTCTTTTTCTCACAGACTGTTTTTGTATACATCAGTATCTGAAACTTGGGCCATGCTTAATATATATATTATATACTGTAGTATTATGTTCATGACAAGAAGAACAATAATACGTCTTCTTTATTGATCAAGGAAACTGAATGCAAGAAAACTCTAAAGTAAGCCTTTTACATTGTGGTTTAATGGGTTGTTGCTGATCGTTTCTGCTGAGAGACTGGATCCAATATTAATTTGTTTAGCAGCGTCATATCAAGTGTTTCACACTAAACACAGCAGAAGAAAATTCTTAGTATTAATAAAGTGGCTGGCGTAAAGGAAAAAAAGAATAAAATATGGATTCATTCATGAATAAAAACCACAAATTAAACTTAAATATATACATTAGAAAAATCTGCTAAACATCAACCTGTGTATTTCTTTCTGTTCTGTTTCTGCACCACACATCTATGACCTCCGCCCGCTGCTGTATCCTGATTGGCTGATTCCATCCTAAATTCCTCCTCAGTTTATCACCATTATTGATGTTTTTGTGATAATTATCGAGATCTTTTATCACACACACACACACACACACACACACACACACACACACACACACACACACACACACACAGTAGCTCGTTGAACAGATGTGGCGCAGCAGCAGATGTGTAATGTTCGTCCCTCCATCAGTGAGGTATCAAGCAGCTGACAGGACAAGTGGCTGTCTGAGTGACAGATTGACGCTGCATCTGCCTTCATCTCTGCTCATTTCCATCCCTTTATTTTCCTTTATTTCCTCACATCCACCCTCAATGCTTCCTTTTTCGTTTTCAGTCTCCCCTCCTGGTTCTTGTCCTCATTTCCATCTTCTCCTCTAATCTTGTTCCTCGTTGTTTTGTCTCATCTGTTTCATTCCTCCTTCACTCTGTTTTCCTTATGCTTTACTCCTCCTCCTCCTCCTTTTTTCCCCCTCTGCAAGCGTTTTATTATCACTTCCTCTGACCGCCACTCGTTATCAGACGCTTCCCGACTCCCTCATCTCGCCCCCACATTAGTCAGCCAGAGAGGCTTAAGTGAAATATTATAAATAATCCAGTGTATTGAAATCTTTTATCAGCTGTGTCACTTTCATTATTCAATAAGCGATTAGTAACAGTCTTCCCAATTTAGCCATTAAGCACTGAGCGTGCTCGGCCGGCCGCTGGCTCACCGCCTGTCACGCCGGGCGGGCGGGTGAAGTATCTTCATGTCAGAGCGAGGCCTGGCGTAATTCATGAGGGGGAACCGCCCTCTGCGGCCGAGCTCCCCCAGGTAGGACCACACCAACACACACACTCAGAGATTCTCACCCTTAGTTTGCTGCACCAGTGGAAGTTCCTGGTGGTGATGGTGATACTTCTACCCACCAGTATCTTTTGTTTCAGATGGGGCTTTTTGTGACCTCTGGCCAGACTAATGTGCGTGACTTTTTAATGACTCACTGACCTGCAGCTCCACCGTATTCACCTGGATTTGGACTTCATGGCTCATGAGGATGTTTTACTACCGTTCTGATGCATTTCAGTTTTCTGTTTTGACCAGGTCTTGGTTTTATTGGTGTATTGACTGGGACTTGTCAGATTCATGAAGATGTTTTTTAAAGGTATTCTTGCGTGTCATCTTTGGTGTAGTTCTGGTTCATCCATTGATTCTGACTTCTGTCACGCTTACATTTGGACTAAACCCATGGGATAGGATGGGATAAACCCATGAATGGGTTTTGATTTTCACTTATCTTGATTTTTAAGGGCATTTTTTTAGCGTGTAGCATTTGATCTAGTTCAGTTTAATTAATGCATTCATAGTTTATTGGGTTAGGATTTATGATAGTTGTTTCAGTTTTCTGTTTTAACTTGGTCTTGGTTTTGTTGGTTTTATAGGTGTACTGACAAGGACTTACCAAGTTCACGTCGGTGTTTCTACTCTGATATTTTGGATTTTTGGATCAAACTACGACTTCTTTTGTGCCGTTCTTGCTCATTAGCAGTACTTTGGTTTGTTTTGTTCTTCACAATGCTTTTTTGATTCAGACTTGGTTTTGGCTTATTGTCTTTGGTAGAGTTCTTGTTCATCTATTGATTTTTTTTTTTTTTTTTTTTGGATATGTGTTTGTTTTTTTTGGTTTAGTTCTAGTTTGATTAGTTCAATTTAATGTGTTTCACCGGGGTTAATTGCGAATTACTTCTTTTAGCCTTCAGCTTTAAACATTCTTAGTTTTGTTAGTTCTATCCTTGGTATGTCAAGTTTATAGGCATTTTTTGACTTATTTTGGTTTTAACTTTTATTCTGAAAATTTTAGCTCAAATGTAGCTCTTCACTTTTACTTGTGGTGGTCTTTGAGTTAGTTCTCTACATTATACATGCTTCCCTTAGGCATAGCACACATTTTCACTGCTATGCAGATGACACCAAACTTCTAGCCATGAAGTCAGATAACACACAGCAATTTGTTAAAATGCAAGAATGTCTTACATACATAAAGCTCCTCACACACAAGGTCTTGAATAATCAGGGCTCATCTTATCTTAATGACTTCATAGTACTGTGTGACCCCAATAGAGTGCTTCACTCTCACATTGCAGGCCTACTTGTTGTTCCTAGAGTATTTAAAAGTGTGGGGGGAATGGGAAAAGAATGGGAGGCAGAGCCTTCAGTTTTCAGGCCCCTCTTCTTTGGAACCAGCTTCCAGTTTGGATTCAGGAGACGCACACTATCTCTACTTTTAAATTAGGCTTAAAACTTTCCTTTTTGCTAAAGCATATAGTTAGGGTTTGATCAGGTGACCCTGAACCTCCCTTAATTATGCTGTAATAGGTCTAGGCTTCTGGGGGATTCCTATGATGTGTGAAGTATTTCTTCTTCAGTCACCTTTTTCACTCAATATGTGTTTATACACCTCTCAGCATTTAATTATTAGTTATTATTAATCTCTGGCTCTCTTCCACACCATGTCTTTGACCAATCTTCTTCTCCTCACCCCCAACTGGTCATGGCAGTTGGCCATCCTCATAATGAGAGCATGAGTGGATCTGCAGCCTCGACACCGGGCTGCCATTTGAGCTTTGAAAGTTGACCTCAGTCTCTTTCGTTCAGCTTCAAAAGTTTGAAGCTGAATCTGTGGCCACATTCCTTAAGTTTAAGTTGAGAAACGGTGGCTTTGATTCCTCACACGGAAAGCTGCTCACAGCTGATGTTTAAGTTGTGTGCGCGCCTCTCAGATCACATTCGTGTGTGACGGTGTCTCAGCTGAAGAGCTTCACCTCATTGTTGTCAGGTGGTCGGTGCACCTGCAGCACGCCGCTCTCTGACTGCTTCATCAAGGCCTTGAATTCCTTTAAAGTCGCAGCTTAATCAGGAAGGTGGGCTCCGCCCTCCGTCACAGGTCAAATAGGGTCAGAGAGGGTCAAACAGAAGGGAAACAAAGAGGGCCTCTGTGGAGGAAAGACCAGGTGGTCCTGCAGTTACCTGTCAGTCACTTTGTTTTAGTCTCTCTCCCTCTGACACAAGTTTATATAGTTTACACAAACATGTTCTTGTGTTGTAAAGCACTTTGTGATTATTTTTTTTTAATCTGTGAAAAGCGCTATATAAATAAATTTTACTTTACTTACTTATGTTTAAGCTTTTTCAGACAGGTTGGTGAGAAACATTTACAAGATTTTTTTAAATGAGACACACAAAATACAAAGACTATCGTCAGTGCTGGATAGACCTGCTGATGTTTTAACCTTTTCTCCAGTATACAACATGAAGAGTAACAAACTGTTCAAATAAACTTCAAAGCGTTCAAAGATCAAATTAAACATCGACATAGCCTGTACACTCACTACAGCTATAGCCTGTACATACTTATACTATATTCATAACATACCTTCATACCGTGTACATTATAACATCAGAAAGTGAGAAAATGAAGAAAAAGAAAGCAACAAGTTTTCACAAACTTCCACTAATGTACGATTTTTGAGATCAGCGAGCTCCAGAGAAACTCTTGCTGCTGTTTCCTCCTTAGATCCCTGAGGAGATGATCCAGCAGGCTACACAACATGGTTTAAACCATGAGTCGACTTAGAGGCAAATAATATCTGAGTTAGACTGAGAGGAAAAACACTTCACGTCCCCCTGCTTTGAAAAAAAGCTCATATTGGAGTAACAGGCTGGATATTCATGTAGGTGGAGTGTAGTGACAGTTTTAACTGAGTCCCATCACTTTGTGGTGTCTTATATCATGAAGCTGCTTCTGCCTCTTGACTCATTTTTTAGCTTTTGTTTTTTATCTCAGATCCATGACTCTGGTCTCTGCTTCAGCCTCTCTGCTCGCGCTCTCGGGGCTCCAACCTGTGACCTTTTTAACACCACCCTGATTCATTCCCTCCGTCACTCGCCTCGCCTCCTGTGGCAGATCGAGGAAAACAAAGCGGACTAACATTAAAGTGTCAGCCGCGGCTGTATTTCATCCTCTGCAAATGTTGCTTTGGTGGCAAATGCTCGCAGTAGCCCCAGGGGGGAGTGAATATTACAGAGTTTGCAGAGGTCAAAGGTCACAGAGCTCAAACCTGTGGAAGAATCAGAGCTACAAAGGAGCTACAGAATCATGTTAAAGTTCAGCGTTTTTATCGTCCCATCATTTGTTGGCACTTAGGTTTGATTTAATGCTTAAAAAAATCACATTATCACAGTTTCGACCATATTTTTTGAAGAATGTTGCCTTTATATTCTGCTAAAGGTGATTAATTAAAATAATTAATCATATCTATGAAATAAGAGATTATACTGAAAACTGTCTAATGCAATTTCAAAGTTTAAGTTGACTTTTGTTTTATTCTATCCAACCAGCAGCTCACAATTCTAAAAAGGAAATAAAAGTTCAAACCTTACACATCACACACTGATATTTCGCTCTAAATTGCCCGCAAATAAGTTTTCTTACTTTCTTGGTTATCTTTTAATGTGAAAATCTCGAGGAAGTGTTGAGTTGTAGCTCAACAGCAGTTTTTTTGGGGCTCTTGTTGTTTGACTTTCAGTGGGTTTAAAGTGTCATGAATATTTTTAGTTTGGTTATTTTTTTATCAGATAAATGTGAGCAGAAACTTTTTGATTGACATCTTTAGATTTTTTCCAAGTTCTATTTTTTTATTTGTTGTGGATTAAAGATGTACTTTGTTGATCTTTCACGGACTTCCATCCCTTCATTGTGCTTATTGGCTCCTCCCACTTCAGCACCGAGCCACACCCCCTCCATAGCATCCTCTGCACTGCTGGTTTTGACACCTGTCTCTCTCTTTCTCTCCCTCTTCCCCTTTACTGTCTATGTCTTATATTTGTTGTCTCATTCCTAAAATCTGGCCTCACCTCTCCTTTGGTCCTGCATGTTTCATTCCTCATTCATTCCTCTTCTCTTGTCCCTTGTCTCCTTTGTTCCTGTTCGGATCGCCTGTTATCTCTTCTTCATTCCTCTATCATACCCGCTTGACCTGCTTTTGTTATTCCTTCATTCCTTCTTCAATCTTCCTTTGGGTCCACATTCGATCTTCCTTCATACCCACATTATTCCTGTTTCCTTCCTCGCTGCCGTCTTTTCTCTCTCTTCCTGCTGTCGGGGGATGCAGCCAAACGTAAAGCTTGGAAACTAAATCGCGTCTCTAGCCTTCGCAGCATTTACACCAACAGTCTGCAGAACTCAGAAGGTAAAAAAAAACTGCTGTGGTGGGACGGACAGACCCCCAACTGACCTCCACCCTGACCCTCCCACCACTGCAGGGTTGGAGTCCCCTGTGCTGGAGATTTGTGCTTTTGATTCCAGGAATGAATGAGCTGGTGATTTGCAGAAAAAGATGATGAAACTGGGTTTGAGTCACTTATATGTTTAAGCAAGAAGCACTGAGACACTTGTATAACATGAAGGCTAATTCTTTAATGAATCATCAACTTCGATCAAAGAGGGAAAATTAGTTATTAGTGATATTTATAGTAATAGTAGTATAATATATAGTAATATTAAATTATACACCTTTTTTTTTTTTTTTTTTTTTTTTACCAAAATTGAGGTCAGTACAGAGTTTAACACTCATCATGGACCATAACTTGAAAGTGAGCTGCTAGCTGAGCTGTAAACTGAACATGGATTGGTTAATTCTGAAAAAAAAAAACTGAAAAAAAAACCTAATATAGTTTTAAAAGAAACTAAATATGTTGCTGTAAAATTTATGGATTTATGACTCACATAGTCAGTTTTAAGGTATTTTTGCAGTCAGTATGGGATGTTTGCCCGACTTGGACTCATAGTTAACCTTCCCGTCCACTTTATATCCATGTACAACATGTTGGAATTGCCATTTTAAATCTTTTTCACCACCTCTTGCTGTCTTAATCAGTGTGAGAGTAATGCAGTATTGTCCATGGGGGGAAAAAAATATTTCTCTAACTTTATAAACCACACAGGGATATTTTCAACCTGCAGTTTGGATGTGTTTCACCTCTAAAGAGTTCTTAGAGTCTTTTTGCTGCAAATCATCCAGTCAGTTCTTTCTCGGTGTGTCCATCTGTGTTTGGTCCAGTGAAGAAAGCATCTGTCTTTCCCTTCCCCTGTATTTCTTTGCCCCACCTGCCTCACCTGTGAGGACACAGCCAACCAAACACCCCCACCCTGGAAGCATGGGCTGTACAGGTGATGATACACCACAATGTGATGTGCGTTTTGTGCGATAGTGTTCCAGAGCATCTTCTGGTGTGATTTCCTCCTTCATGAAGTATGTGCTGTGGTTCGGTTCCTCTCAGTCTTCTGCTCAAGAGCAAAAAAAAATAAAAACACAGAGCCACATATTTCTTTCTCTGAGCGACTTCTGAACAATCGGCTGCAATATTTTCCAGGTTATTAATGTTGTAAAAGGCTGCGAATAATATGGGGAGTAATGACCTGTGTCGCAAAGCAATACTGTGTGCGGTGACATTTAAGGCTTTTAATTTGTGTTTCCCGAGGCCCCCTTTTGTCTCCCTCACGCCTCCCCTCTCATTGCACCTCCCGTCCTCCACTCTCAAACACACATACACCTCCCGCTGAGCCTCGACACCTCACATGGATGATAGGCTTGTATGCATGTCCTGCCCCCCACCCCCACCCACCCACCCTCTGCCAATCCCCACCTCCTCCCCTTCTTCCTGCCGCCATTCCTCCCTGCGTCTTGTAAATGCTGTATATTTGGTTTGTTCTTTTCTGCCGTTAAAGGTTGCCAGTGTCAGAGTTCACAAATTGCCTCGGCACCACCTCTCTCTGCGCGAATGTCACCCACAGTAGCCGAGAGCGGTGGCAGTAATTACCCGCACAGTGCGGCGTGGTCGGCGTCCGAATTTGTGTGTGTTTGTGCTCTCGTGCATACATTTAGACACACGCAGCAGCGAATGGAGAAAGAAAAACACAGGCCGAACAGGGCAAGAAAAGAAATCAGGGGGAGTTTTTTGAAGATTTCCTCAGAGGATTTAAAATCTCTTTTTATAGCTTAAAGTCACATTTTGTTTCATTTCCAATCTGAATGAGCAAATTAAACTGTCAAGACAAAGACACGATTTTCTAGAAAGTTCTTCAAAAAATAAGCTTGATTGTTTTCGCCTTCAAAGTTTGGGGTTTAAAGTAACTTTGACAGCTAAATGGTCCTTAAATTAGTTAGAAAAATGAGAAATTACCCAATCCAATGTGCTTGGAAGATCCAGGATGATCTTGGAGGTTTATTTTAATCACGTACAGCAGTGTTACCCATGAACGTGCGATGAAAGAGCTTTAGTTATTTTTAGTGAAATGAACTACTACTGTAAAAAGTCTGAAATAAAGTTGAGGAAAGTAAATTCTTAAAACTTGTTTCCACATGCAGCAGTTACTCATCAACATGATCATCACGTATGTGAATCTGGCATTTTCTTACTTTTAGCTCCGTATTTGGTCTCCTCCACTTCCTGAGGAAAATATCTGGCCTTTTATCTGCTACATGCTGCATGTTCTGCGACAGCTTTGGACATATTTTGTTCCTGATTTGTTTTTAGACACTTAGCATTATTTTTGTGAAGATTTATCAACTTTACTTGTCTCTTTTTACACTTTCTAGTCATACAGTGGTCTCTCGTTTATCGCGGGAGTTACGTTCTAAAAAATAACCCACGATAAGTGAAATCTGCAAAGTAGCCAACTTTATTTTTTATAATTATTATAGATGTATAAGGCTGTAAAACCCCTCACTACACACTTTATACACTTTTCTCAGTCAGGCATGAACATTTTCACACTTTTCTCTGTTGTCTAAACACTCTCAAAGTTTAAAACTTGTAGAAAAATAAGTCCAGTATTATAGAATGAAACCAAAGGCACCTGCAGGTGATGGCGTTTCGTCGAAATTCTTGTGTTTGTTGGGGAGAAAACTTACAAACGCACAGTACAGCACTTCAGAGTCGACACAAGATTGATTGACGTTGGTCTACAGCCTATCAGGACGCAGAACACAATGCGCTGTTTAAAAAAAAAAAAAAAAAAGCATGCAAAATTGCACCAAAAAAATTCAACAAAACAGAGAGGCCGTGAAAGGTGAGCCGCGTTGTAGCGAGGGACCACTGTATTGCTTGCATCTTTTTGTGTTCATTTTTTGGACATTTTGTTATTTTTATGACACTTAAGTAATATTACATATTTATTAACATTTACTAACACTAACAGCAATTTCTTTGTATTTTACAGCAATTTTAGTTGTAGTTCAGAGATTTTTATCATCTTTTTTATGTTGTCATTTTATTCCTATTGCTTTTTTTCATAATTTTCTAAAATATTTCTCAGGGAGTTCATTCCAAACTAATATAAAATAATGTTATTATTTTATTGATATTTTCTTATATTTTTAAAACTTGTTATATTTTCTCCTTTTTTAGAAGACAATGTGAACATTGAACACTTTTATTATCCTCTGCCCCTCGGCCCGTTTGCAAATTGAAGCTGCACATTCTCAGCATTAATTAAGCTTCATTAATGTTAAAGGTAATTAATTTTAGTCCTTGCACTTACATTTTACTTCTAGCTCCTCACCCTGGATATAAAGCAGCTAAAAGCTCCACGTTTCATATTTGACCTATTGAATATAGTTTCCATTTCTAGTTTCTATCATAATATAATCCAGTGAATATCTTTTGGTCTCCACCTCCTCCTGAGCTCTGACATCCTGTTTCTTTTAGCTGTTGGCTGCTCAGAGAACTGAAACTATGAGCTAAAAGAGACTAAAAAGCTCCACAGAGTAATTTTTCTACCATGCTTTAAGATTAGTGTTGCTGCTGAGGTCCAGGCAGGGGTTTCATAGTAAAAGTGGGTGGTGGGAGTGGTTCTTTTCCCCCCTGATTTTATTCATTAGCGGGCTTAGTGCGCTGGGTCAGCATGCAGCATTTAAATCCAGAAACACCATTTAATTTACGCTGCAGAGAGGCAGAGCCTTTCTGGATTGTTGGTTTCCATAATTGTCAAGCAGCCTCCACCCCTCCCCTTCCCCCTGAAAACAGAGAATCATGGGAATTTAATTATGATGGGATTCTGGCTCTTGACCCTGCAGGGCTGAGGCGGTGCTTGATGGGTGAGCCGTCATTTAGAACGAAGAGGCACCCGGTGTTCACCCAGGAGCTCCGAACACACTCCCTCCCTGCATTATGTACAGTTTGCCCTTCACCAGACACACGTTCATACGCATAGCTTCGACTTCCTCTGGTCTGAAGATAGTTTGATGATGGTAGCACCTGCTCTGAAGTCACGCAGTGTCCCCGTAAATCATGAAGGACAGCAACAGATGCTCCTAAAATAAAACTCATGTTTTTATGCAATCAAGTTAATAATCAAAGGTCAATAAGCTCCAGGCTATGAATCAGGATCGAGCACTGTGTGAAACTCTGGATGTTTTTCTATGTTTTTGGAGGTTTAATTTAGTTTAAGTGAAATTATTATAAGTGCTTTATCTTCAATATTTCTCGTGATAATCTGGGGCCCTTTTTCTATTTTTTTCCTGCTTTTTTGGACAATTCTTCTTCTTAGACACCAAAATAAATGTTTTCCATAAAATGTATTTATATTAATGTATCTTTTAAAGAAAAGTAAAAAAGGGTTTTTTTGACACCTTTTTCTGTCATTTTGTTTTTAAATTCTTTAAATTTTTTTATTTTTCCAATTTTTTGTATTTTAAAAAAACTTTTTTAAAATATATTTTTTAGAAATATTAGTTTGACCAGTGTTTTCTTCCTCTTTGTATATCATTTTACAGATTTTGTTTATTAACGGTTATTAATATAAAGTAACTGGAATTTTTTGTCTAGCTTTCTTCAGATTTTATTTATATTTTTCAAACAAGTTTTCAGACATTTGTGGGGTGAATTTTTCTTTCCTTTAGCTGCTTTTTGAACATTTTATTATTCTCAACTCATTTTCAGTTTGGACCTGCAGGTTTTAATTAGGCTTCATTAATGTTAATGTTGATTAATTCGGTCGCTTCCTCTAAAAACTTATTTCTGGATCCTTTCCCAAAAACATCATCTGGAAAAAAGCAGCTTGAAGCTCCACTTTGGTAAAAATGTCCAGCTTTTTTCCACTGTGAGAAAACCTTTTATTAAATATTTTCCTTTACAGTTTGTCCCTCTCGTTTCACTGCTTTCATGAGAAAAGTTCAGTCTCATCATTGTTTCTCTGAATCTCTGCGCTCAGCGGCTGGTTTACTGCACAGATCGGTTTAACCTTGATCCGTTAGCCGGCCCTTGTAAACAGTAGTTTTAATTAACGTGAGCTCATCCGACTCGGGCCGTCAGCTGCCTGCAGCAGCTCACAGATGAAAACGATCCTCGGTTATCTCTAGTAGAGAAACTTTGGAGAGCAAAGGTGTTTTCAATCTCTTCATCTGGAAGTGCGGGGCTTCCTCAGCCCGCCGTTTGCCTCGGGGCGCTTCCTTCCATCCTTACCTTCCGTCCTTCCTCTCCTCGGACAAGGCCATTGATTATCCAGAGCAGAGCCGGAGGGGAGCTTCGGCTCTGCTGCTCTGAGACGATCCCAATTAGCCAAATGACTGGAGTTGAGGAGGAGCAAATGGTTGTTCCCTGGCGGGCCGGCCGTGACCGCTCTCCGACTGATTAAACCCCTCATCATCATCATCTTCTTCTTCTGCTGCCGCCGCTCGTCATGAACGGCTGCTTCCAGAAACCCTCGCCCGTGTTGTGAGTGATTACCGAGCTCACTGCTGAGATTTTGTCTGAGCCCGACGCCGCGCAGGTTTGGATGGAGGAAAGCATTTCCGGGTCACACCAGCAGAGACGGTGGAATCCTGGGAATTATCAGGCACGCTGGAGGCCATCCTTTGATTAAGTGATTACCCGGTGTCGCCTCCTCTTCCCTGCTGATCGGGGTTAATTGTAAACAGAAGCTGCTTGTAGTCTGATCTGCTGTGGTGATGATACTCAGCCCCCCTCCCATCCCGTCTGTGCGCCCTAACAGTTTCCAAATGTGGCTGACATGTCAACGAACAAATGTGAACATCTGTGGCGAGGCATGGAAGCAGTCGTACAGAAACACAGAGGATTTTCAGCTCCACGAGGTTTACTCAGAAATCCAATCAAATTTTACAGGGAGCGCAGAATTATTAGGCAAGTTGTATTTTTGAGGAATAATGTTATTATTGAACAACAACCATGTTCTCAATGAACC